CCATTCCATTCCATTCCATTCCATTCCATTCCATTCCATTCCATTCTCTCCTATTCTCTTCTCTTCTCTTCTCTTCTCCTCTTCTATTCCATTCTCTTCTCTTCTCTTCTCTTCTCTTCTCTTCTCTTCTCTTCTATTCCATTCTCTCCTCTTCTCTTCTCTTCTCTTCTCTTCTATTCTATTCTATTCTATTCTCTCCTATCCTAGTCTCTCCTATTCTATTCTATTCTCTCCTATTCTTTCTATTTCTATTCTATTCTATTCTATTCTATTCTATTCTATTCTATTCTATTCTATTCTATTCTATTCTATTCCATTCCATTCCATTCTCTCCTATTCTCTCCTCTCCTCTCCTCTCCTGTTCTATTCTCTCCTATTCTATTCTATTCTATTCTATTCTATTCTATTCTATTCTATTCTATTCTATTATATTCTCTCCTCTCCTCTCCTCTCCTCTCCTATTCTATTCTAATTCTAATTCTAATTCTATCTCTTCCAGCCCTTTCCAAACTGCAGCACGACCCGGATCCTTCGGTCCGCATGGCGGCTATGGAAGCCATGCAGATGGTCCAGGATGCTTGCGGGGGGCCCTCCATCGCGCTTCGGAGCCAGACCCACTTCAACTTGGACAGGGAGGAGCGCCTCTTCTCCCAGGGACACTGGGAAGCGCCGGATCCCTCGCTGACCCATCGTTGGAATCCATCGTCCCCGGTCTCCCATAGGATAGTGACTGGCTTCGTCCGGAGGCGGCAGTCAGGGGCTGCACGCCAAACCTGACCCACATCCGCGGGAAGGATGGCAGACCAGGACAGGCAGCTGGCTCTTCCGGGAGCGGTGGGCTGCGTCAGAACTGATCTAGAACCCCACCCCCACCCCAATCCGGAAGGGATCCCCATGAGAAAGCCGGTGATGGACGTGATCCAGTCCCATGGTAGCGTCCGGAAGTCCGAGGCGACCGTGGCAGAGTGAATTTTTCTAGCGAGGCTAATCCGGTCAGTTTCCCTGCCTAGCAGAACGGGCTCATCCACATTTCTTTGTTAGTGTCTCGTTTTCTCCTGGCGCCACTTTTGAGCAAACTTGCAAGGGTGAGGAACCAATTGGGAAGGAGGATGAAAACCATCCCGCAGAGAACGGAATCGCAACGTTTCGATCGAAAGCAGCCTAGTAAAATGAAAGGCAGGTAGTGCTCGACGTACCATGTCCACGTTGGGACCGCTGAAAATTACAAAGCACTGACAAAAGGGACTTTGGATCCGTTCTCACGCTTATGACCGTTGTGGCGTTCCCACGGTCAGAGGATCAAACTTCCGATGCTGGGCAACTGGCATGTACTTATGACTGTTGCAGTGTCCCCAGTGGTAGGATTCAATTTTTTTTTACTACAGGTTCTGTGAGCGTGGCTTGGTGGGCATGGCATGGCTTAGTGGGTGTGGCTTGGTGGGCATGGCAGGGGAAGGATATACTGCAAAATCCCCCTTCCCTCCCCACCCCACTAGCCTGCTTTCCAGCTCTGTTCTCCTGGGCAGGGCAACCAAAGGAGACCCAGCTGATCAGCTGTGACCATGGCTTGATGGGCATGGTGTTCTGTGGGTGTTGTAGTGATGGCATGACATGGCTTAGTGGGTGTAGCTTGGTGGGCGTGGCAGGGGAAAGGATATACTGCAAAATCCCCCTTCCCACTAACCTGCTTTCCAGCTCCGTTCTCCTGTGCAGGGCAACCAAAGAAAACCCAGGCGAACAGTTGGGACTCGATGGGAGGCAGAGGATAGATGGGGTTGGTGGGGCCAGTCAGAAGTGGGATTGGCCGGTTCTCTGAACTACTCAAAAGTTCCACTACCAGTTCTCCAGAACCGGTCAGAACCGGCTGAATTCCACCTCTGAGCATCCCAGGGGTCACCTGATCACCATTTGTAACCTTCCCAGCCATCTTCCAACAAGCAAAGTCAATGGAGGAAGCCCGACTCGCTTAACGACTGCACGATTCACTTTATTATGACTGCAGTGATTTGCTTAACAACCGTGTCCAGAAAGGTCCTAAACTGAGCCAAAACTCGCTTAACAGCTGCCTCGCTTAGCGATGGAAATGTTGGACTCCGTTGTGGGCATAGGCCCAGGGCTACCCGTAGGGACAGCCGTTAAGCGAGAGAACCTCACTTTAACGACTCCCACCAACCGCTCTTCTTTCTTGGCTGCGGCTGTTAAATGAACGTCAGTCGTTAAGCGGAGCTTTCTGAAGCACTGTGTGGAAGAGATCGGACGGCCCCATTGGGCCACTGCAGAATCAGCCGCCATTTTTTTTTCCAAGTGACCGGAAATCAAAGCATCCGGTCGAAATATGGCAGCCACATCTGGAATAACACCAGGTATCTGACCAGAGTGCAGAGTGCTGCAGAAAACTCCGGACATCTTGAAAAGTCAATGTGCGTAAGTGCATGATGGGTGATGATGGTGTAAGAAGGTATGTGGATGATGGGTGATGGGGTGGGGTAAGGGGGGAGACTTACCTGGGGGGGACCCAGGGATGGGGAAGCCTCCAGGACCCCATGTGGGGGGATGGGAGGAGATAGGCAGGGCAACAGCTGCAGCGTCTCTGTGGTCGGTTGTAAGGGCAAATGACCACAGGGGAAATCGCAGCGGTTGTAACTTCGGGACGAGGCCAGAAGTAGCACCTGGTGGTTAAGTGAGGATTACCTGGAGTAGCGATGAGAGGGAGGGCTTTCGTAGCTGTGCTCCAACTCTTGCCTTTCTTTGCTACAGAACTGAGAACTGCCGGATCGGGTTTTTTTTAAAGAACAACTGCTGGAATCTGCTGGGAGCCAGGAACTTGATGGCGGACGTAAGATCGCAAAAGATCTCTGGAAAAGATTGAGTCCATGCTGCCCTCGTGTGGCCAATCCAAGAACATAAGGGGTTAGAAAAGCCACAACTCTTTTTATTTCTTATTTATTTACTATGAAATGAATATTAATCCCTTTGTTCTATTTTCCAGCAAAAGGCCCCAAAACAAGCTACAATTATAATCTAAATTTGGTCTTAAAGAAACCAGTTCAACAAATATAATATTGAATATTACATAATGTCTATCATATCTATCTATCTATCTATCTATCTATCTATCTATCTATCTCTATCTACGGTATCTATATCTATATCATCTAGCTATCTATTTATCTAATTATCTCTATATCTGTCTATATCTATCTATATCTATCTCTAATCTATCCATCTTTGTCTCTCATATCTATCTATATCTAATTATCTCTAGCTAGCTATCATCATCTAATTATCTATCTCTATCTCTAATTATCTCCAGCTAGCTATATCTATCATCTATCTAATTATCTATATCTATCTATCTCTATATCTAATTATCTCTACCTAGCTATCATCTATCATCTGTCTATCATCTACCTCTCTATCAATTTATATCTATATATCTACCGTGTTTCTCATATAATAAGGCCGGGTCTTTTTTTTTTTTGAGCCCCGAAAAAACGGCTAGGCCGTCTTTTCAGGGGTGACTTAATTCCCCCCCTTGCATCTTAGGGCGGGCGGCGACGGCTTGGATGTTGACCTTGGCGTTGGTGGGGCACTTTGTATCAGGGTCAACGCAGGCAGCACCATATCCGGGTGTGCAACAAAAGTACTTCCTAACAGCAAGCCCCCCCCCCCCGCCATTTCCCCCCCATTTCGCATGTTTTAATATAGGCCTTAATTTGGGGGGGAGGGGCTTAATTTCATTTCATGCCTATAAAACATGCTGGGACTTCCTATTGGGGGAGGCTGTATTGTTGGAGAAACAGGATATCTCTATGTAATATATCTTTATTTCTATCTCATATCTATATCTAATTATCTCCAGCTAGCTATCATCTATCATCTAATTATCTATATCTATCTCTATCTCTAATTATCTCCAGCTAGCTATATCTATCATCTAATTATCTATATCTATCTATCTATCTCTATATCTAATTATCTCTACCTAGCTATCATCTATATCTATCATCTACCTCTCTTATCAATTTATATCTATATATCTATCTCTATGTAATATATCTTTATT